TCGTAATAGCGTTGATGGATTTTCGATAACTCAATCTACTAATTTTCCTTACATGACTCATTATCAAAATATTCTTATTGGTCGATATGATTTTGATTTGAACGAAACTATCAATGAAAGTGACTGGTAATGCTCAATAATTATATTTTGATTATTATTTGTTGATTTTGTCAATTATTTATTAATTTATATGATTTTATTATTACTATTATTATTATATATTTTGTAGCAGTTTACCTCAGCAAGATAGGAATATTTCTCCAAGTTATGGATTAGATAATTATTTTGGTCAGTCCTCACACTTTGAAATGACGGAAAATGTTGGGACATCCTCAAATTTTCATGTCTCGCCTACTTTTGATTCAGATGATTATCAGTATGTCGAACACTTGATTTTTTATTTAAGTAAGTTAATTGCATGAGATAAATATTTATACTTTTTTACATATATAGGGAAAATATCACACAAGCTGAGCCCATTGATCATGTGAATATCGATGATCGTGACCTTCCAAATTACGGCTCACCTTCAGCTAGTGATAGTGATGATTTGCCTAATGCCGAGGAATCATGAGATAATGTTCCATTTGAGGCATCATCTAGTGATGATGATTTTTAATGCCCAATCGGTCGCCAAAACCAATGTCCATGAGTCCGTTTCATAATCATGAAATTCCTTATCTTGATCATCTCCAACATAGTCCAAATATCTTTGGCGATACACATGATGAATATTCATCACAACGTACGTGGCGTGAACCGGAAGATTTCATGAATGGTGCTATTTATATTGAAAAAGGCATGTTATTCAATTCAAAGAAATTTTCTTTCATCAATTTATAAAAGAATGAGTATAAACAGTACTATTTATAATTTGATTGTAGTCGGAAAATACCCTACTTCATTTTTATCACAAGGACAAGTAAATTTTGGAGAGTGGATTATCTATAATGACGAATCGTTGACCGACTTTTTGAGGGTTCCAAATGACTACATAGATCAAATCAAGTTAACAATACTTGAAATCTATGTTAGGAAGGAGCCTAAGACTAGTCAACAACGTTCTCCTTTATCGGTCGATGTCCATCCCCGATTAGAAAATCGTAATAGCGTTGATGGATTTCCGATAACTCAATCTACTGATTTTCCTAACATGACTCATTATCAAAATATTCTTCCCGGTCGATATGATGTTGATTTGAACGAAACTATCAATGAAAGTGACTGGTAATGCTCAATAATTATATTTCGATTATTATTTGTTGATTTTGTCAATTATTTA